TGATTAGCTAGTTTATAGTTATAGTTAGTCTACTTGATTGCAAGACATCTATCGTAAATAAATCATAATAGCAAATGGCAAATTATGAATATTGTATCTGGTTATTTTCATACAACTCTGATCATAGTGATGATTCATAGTTATCAAATTTTAAGTAATGGTATTAAAATCACTTTGTGACTAAAATGAATGTTAAAGGCAAAACACTATAATTCACAACTTCAGAACAATGGAAATATTCAATACTGGACTTCAGTTCTTCTAACCTCTGGATTTGTGATATTTGGTAAACCAGGAATCCTGAGAATTTTCTTGCATTTTAAATATGTCTTTGAACTATCTAGGATTATGTTAACAGTTACACAATTATGAGAACTGAGTTGAACTGCAAGTTTGGTTCACAATCTTTATCAGTGAGTTATTCTTCTCAAAGACATAGTATCCTCTTGAATTTTTTGAATAAAGCTGAAAAGCTGGTCATCATAATGCCTACATTTCTTAATCCTTATATTTTGTCATTTGGAATTTTTATAAGTAGCAATGACACACTAAAATGTGCACAATTATTCTTAATTTTTAAGTTGTCTTCCAACAAAAAAAAAAAAAATGGAAAAAGAAAGAAAATCCTGGAATTCTCTAAATGAATATATAATAGTCCATTTATTAATTTCTAGAAGTGGATATATTAACTGTGGTCTATTTGAGTCTAGTCTTTGTCTTACCATGTAATATACACTTATAATTTTCAAGTTTGTTATTAAACTGGATAATAAACACAAAATTCATGTTGTCAAAAGGTTTTTTTTTGCATGTCAAACATACATTAGAAACTGATTTAAATTTATGTTAACAATTTTCTTAAGTTTAAAAACTCCATCATAAGGCTGTGGTTGCGGCTCAGTACTAGAGTGCTTGCCTCATGTGTGAGGCACTGGGTTTGATTCTCAGCACCATATATAAATAAATGAATAAAGGTCCATCATCATCTAAAAATATTTGGAAAAAAAACCCCACTCCATCATAGTGTTATACTTAAAAAAAACCTATGGCTAGGGGCTGGGATTATAGCTCAGTGGTGGAGTGCTTGCCTAGCATGTGTGAGGCACTGGGTTTGATTCTCAGCATTGCATATAAATAAATAAAATAAAGGTCCATGGACAACTAAAAAATATTTTTAAAAAAACCTTGGCTATGAGATATAATAGAAGCCAAGCACACCTGGAACCCTGTAACTACCTTCCAGAGTTCGTGTAAGAGTCTTGATCTCATGTTTCTCATCTGAAAGATAAGCTGGGTCTACTAAACTAAATCTACTGCATTGGGTTACAGGAGAAATCACGTTGTGAGAGAACTTTGTAAAAAGAAACTTTATTGTCTACATATAAAGAATCACCATAATACATAATACATAATCACTCTTCTAATCAGAGATTCCTCCATAGTTTCTGTGTGATTTTATCTTCTCCAGCGGATTAACTTTTGCTTCTAGCAGGCAGTACAGGTATTATTATGGCATGGGACGATCTTAGTTCAGTTAGGGATGGAGTAATGAGAAGCTGAGCTTGGGTCTCTGTGAGGTTGGTCAATTTCCAGTTCACTTCAGTTCTCAAGGTGTAGTCCTTTAGGGATTCCAAATGAAAAGCTATGAATGTGTACCAGGGCTGCACTTCTTTGGGGACCTGAACTTCTACTTTTTTTTCCCTTCCTTGCTCTCACCCTTCCTTCCCCTCAGCTCTGAAAATTACTAAAATTACTGCTTAGTTTCTCAGCTGCTGCCTTCAGCCCAGATTCTTGGCCTCCAAGACATTGCTTGCTAATTAGCGAGTGCTTCCAGGAGAAAAGTAGTGCCAAATATAATCTCTCAGCTTCCAGATCATGGCCCTTCAAGTTCCTGCTGCTTTGATAGCTCTCCAATGACTTGAAACAGATTTTAAAAATATTTTTTGCCAGCTTTTCTAGTTGTTCTTGGTGAGAAAAAAATTGATTAGCAGTTAGCTGATCTTCTATATCAAAAGAAGAAATGTGAGCTGGGAACACCATCATTTACCTTCTTTGAGCATTTTCTCAATTACAAAATAATTATCCCAACAATACTCATATTAGTATTATTGGGAGGATCAAGTAAAATTATAAAATGGAAAAAAAATTTTTCTAACCCATATTGTACAGAAATATAGTCTGTGTGAGCCCAAGGATTTTTACTTTCCTCTTAGGGGAGATGAGCCATCTGAAAGTGATTCCATCAAAGAGTGAAATCTATTCCTATTCAAGAACTGCAACCCAACCATGCTGCACCTGGGAAGAACTCCCCAGGGGCATGTACATAGTTGAAGTAGTTGCTACATCTCAACACTTCTAAGAAACTGTAGTAAGGTATATAACATTACTGTAGGTTAGGTAAGTATTGATGCATGTACATTCATGGGGTAAAGTTAGAAAATAAATATACTCTCCTAGACTCTGTTAAAAACTGATTTGGGGCTGGGGCTGTAGCTCAGTGGTGGAGTACTTGCCTGGCACGCACGCACGTATGAGGCACTGGGTTCAATCCTCAGTGCCACATAAAAATAAATAAATAAATAAAGGTATTGTGTCCATCTACAACTAAAAATATATATTTTTTAAAAAACTGTTTTTTTTTTAGATTGTTCTTCTTTGCATCTTTGGTGAAGTTTCAGGTCACTGCCTCCACTTTGTTGCTCACATGCAGATTAAAAAAAAAAATCCTTAGCTCCTTCCCCCCCACTGCCCTTTTACATGCACACACTTTCAAATTTTAAAAGTCCAGTCCTGTGTAAAAATTTAAAACATCAAATGTTAAGGTTAAATCCTTTTTTTCTTTCTCCAGAATTGAAAAAAGAATTCATTAGTTTCTTTTCTTCCTTGATCCTCCTTCCCCACTCAGTAGGATGCCTCAGACTCCTCCAGGATTGGAGAATAGTAGTGCGGAGGAGGGGTAAGGAATAGAAAAGTTCTTTTAGGCCTGATGCTGTTGTGAACTAGAGCTTTCTGTACTTGGTGAGTATTTAATGCTGACTCGCTCTCTTGAGGGTGTTTTGGAAGACAAAACATCTCCATGTGAGTAAATGTTATCTCTCTGACAGGGCTACTGAATCCATCCCCATCAGCCACTGGTAAGCTAGTGGTCAACTCTCCTATGGGTGTCATTTCACATCTCTGGAAATTTCCTTAGACTTAGTCTGAACCAGTTTGTTCATACGAAACATTTGCACAGGAGATACTCAGATGTTCTTTTTTGTTTTGTGTTGGAGATGAGGGTCTCACTATGTTGCCCAGGCTGGATGAACTCCTGGGTTGAAGTGATCTTCTGGCCTCACCTTCTCAAGTAGGTGGGACTGCAGGTGTGCATCTGGTTTTGTATACTGAGTAACTCTGTATGTGAAAGACCTCCGGAAGGCATCAGTTTCTTATTGCTCAGCTATCAGAGCTGTTATTGACCACAACACACTGGGTTTCTCAGCATGAACTAAACAGCAGCCAGCCCAATCTGCAGGAATACACATCAGACTTTCTTAGTTCTTTTTTTTTTTAATATTTATTTTTTAGTATTTGGCGGACACAACATCTTTGTTTGTATGTGGTGCTGAGGATCGAACCCGGGCCGCACGCATGCCAGGCGAGCGCGCTACCGCTTGAGCCACATCCCAGCCCGGACTTTCTTAGTTCTGCTGAAGTAACTTTCCTTGGACATGAGATGGGTGGGACTCACATCACATTGATTACTGTGGCCCGAGGGTCTTATTAGACTTCTCTCCTCCCCAACCTTTCTTAGACTGGAAGTCACACACTGGTTTCTAGACACCTGTTTTATAAGTTCTGCTTTGGCTATCTTCCACCTCACTTTATAATACAGAAGTAATTGGCACTTATTGCCTTGGGGACTCAGCCAAAGCCGAGAGAGAGGAAGGGTCCAACTTTTACATTCCTGAAAGTAACACCCCCCCCCCCCCCAAACATGGCATATAGTTTCTACACATCAAGGTCAAAAGAATGACGACCACATTGCCTCTCTAAAGTCTTATTACCATCACTGATGTTCTCAAGATTCCACAGGCTGGAATGGTAAAGGCCAGGGGTGGTAGAAACCTTAAGGAGTGGGGAGTGAAAAATCAGGAAAGGCCTGGGGAGAAGCTCACCTCTGAAACACTTCCCATGGGCTCCCAGCCACAGGGTGGTAAGGGCTGGAGGCCTGTGTTAGCAGAGGGTCAAGGGTTACTGAATGTGACCCCATTTGTTCCCAGATCCTAATCCCATATTCCTAATATGTACTGGCACATTTTCCTTCAGGAAAATTTTATTTATTTAACTTCCACAAGCAGTATGACGGTGTTTCATAAAAGTCGTTTTATATGAAAAATCTTTGTTGGAGGAAAATTATCTGTTATTAACCATCAGAATTAGGGCAGGCCATGCACAAGCAAAGAGGGTGGGAGGTTGCCCGCAGGAATAGACGCCAACCAGACTCAATTCAGCTGCGAGGTGAGAGTCCCCGCTCTGTTCCGGGAATCAAGGGAAAGAACAACGCAGGACACCAAGCTCTACCAAAAATCTTCCTTCGGCTTTGCAAATGCATATAAAAGCAGGGCACCACAGTTCAGCGATCACACAATCCCGGCCCAGACACCCCTTTGGGTTGTGTGGGATTCCGAGGAGCTAAAAGTGGAGCAGCTTTGCCAACTGTTGAGCGTAGCGCACCTGTATGGAATTATTACTACGAATAGAGGATGAGAGGGCGGGAGAGACAAATGGCAGGCACCCCAGAAGAAAGGGGCGGGGGAACGGCTTCGAGGAACCTCCTGGGCTGCCGGGCCTGGTGGGGTCTGGTTGGTCCGCAACTGGTCTCTGGGGGCGCGCGAAACTACCACAGGTCCCGCTCTCCGGCCCCGCCCAGCCCCACCGCGTCGCCAGCCCCGCCCCCGCGCGGAGTCTCCGCAGCGTCAATCCTGCTCTGCGCCAGCCCCTCCCGGAAGCGCCGGCGGAGCGTGCCCGCATGGAGCGCGAGCCGTGCGCCGCCTCGGAGGCCGTCCCCGCCGCGCCCGCGCTCTTCGCTTGGGTACGTGACTCCGCCCCCGGGCTTGGGGCGGCCCTAGGGGCTCTCAGGCCTGAGAAGTGGGGGTGTCCGCGTGGGCGGCAGAGGGAAAAAGGGTCGGGGGCCGAGACAGGATTTGGGTTGGAGGATTCTGGGCTGGGTTTGAGGAGGCACGGGAGCGAAGGGTCTTAACTGGGCGATTTAGGAGCCTGCTGGTTATGGTGTCGGGACTTGAGGGGCTGAGGCGCTGCGGGAGGAACCTACTTCCAGGTCTGGGGGTCTGTTCTTCCCAGGGCCTCCCACCCACTGGGTGGTAAGGGCTGGAGGCCTGTGTCAGCAGAGGGGCAAGAGTTACTGAATGTGACCCTGGCCAGGAGAGCTCCTGGGATGCCTGCGTGGAGGCCCGGGTGGAGAGAGGATCGCCCCGTTTCAGAGCCCACGGGGCCACCTGTGCCGCCCATCTCGGGTTGCCTGGAGGGTGGAGGGCCTTCCTTATCGCCACCATAGCTAGCGGGAGCATCTTTTGGATGTGAGGCCCGTGGTGTGTGGCAGCACGCTAGGCGCAGACCCTGCTTATTTGCGGATACCCTGCTGCGACCACAACTTGCCAGTATTGGAGGCCAGGGAGACTGGGCTGGTGTTGGCTTGATGCGAGCCTTAGTGAGACCTATCTTATGTGTGTCTGAGGATGCTTTGTGCACGGAAGCGTGTGGCATGCATGCATGCACAGGAGCAAAGCAAATGTTGAGTCTTGTGGTTCTTGCGAGTACGCATTACGATTGTAATGGCATGTACAATTTCCTAATATTAATCTCCTTGGCTACAGTGTGAGGGGAAGCAGTGAGACTGTGAAGTGCCTCTCTTGGTGCCTGGCACCTTGCAGGTCTCCAGCAAATATTTGTTGATTAAAAAAATGAATGAATGATAGGGCTGGGGTTGTGGCTCAGCTTGCCTATCACGTGTGAGGCCCTAGGTTTGATCCTGGGTTTAAAAAAAAAAAAAGATGAATGAATGTGTCCCTGTGTGGCAGCCACATGTTCTGGTTGTGAAAGATTCCAACTCTTGTATTGGGGAGGATACAAACATACATACAACACATGTGTTGGTATTGAAATCAGCATTTATTGACTGATTTAAAAAATAATTATCAGCCCATGCCTGGCACTTGTTGAATTTAAGGCTGCAGTGTGGCAGAAGGGAGAGGGTGGTGTGGCCTGTATGGCTGACTCTCTGAGGTAGCACTTGAGCTGGGGATGGAGATGCTGTTTCTGGCTTTTTCACATCAGGAGACTGATGTCTGTGGACAGAGGAAATATCTGATAGAAAAAGCTTTTCATATATGTTCTTGAATGTACTGAACTAGAAATATTATTGAAATTCACCTAGCTCCTGTATTTGGAGGGCTGATGGTATGTTCTTCCTGTTTCGAAATCTTTGTGTGCATGTATTAGTTTCCTTAGGCTACAATAACAAAATATCCTATACTGGGGGGGTTTAATAGAAATTTATTTTCTCACAGTTCTGGAGGTTTCAAGTCAAAGATCAAGATGTCAGCAGTTTTGGTTTCTTGTAAGGTCTAATGTGGCTTTTTCTTTGTGAGCATCGCTGGTGTCTCTTACAAGACCAATCATATTGGGTTCAGGCTCCACCTTTATGATCTCATTATTTAACCTTATTAACCTCTGAAAAGATACTGCCTCCAAATACAGTCATATTCTGAGGTATTAGAGATTAGGGCTTCAACATAAGACTTTTGGGGATCGCAGTTCAGTCCATTACAAGGGGATTTACTTTAGGGGTGTGTGTGAGAGAGAAAGACGAGAGTGGGGCGTGTTTGGAATGTAAGGGATACAAACAAAGATGGAACTAAATTTTCTTTCATCTTGTTTTAGCTTGGGTTTAGGGTATCTTGCTACATTTTACAAAAATTGGTACCATATTCGGAACCCCAGAATGCTCATGTCTCACTTTTCTCATGTTCAACAGCCTGCAAGTCTGGTTATGGGACAGGCACGGAGATCTGGGGCTGACTAAGTCCTGTGCATTATACTTCTTACTGTGCCTTTGATCTGACCTTTCCTAGGTGGGGACTTATAGAGCCTTACATTCACTCACCATATAAATAATGTACATCTTCTCTAGGCCAGCACAGTTTCAGATACAGGGCAAATAGTGTGCAAAACAAAGTTCTGCATCATAGAATTTACTTTTTAGTGGAGAAGGTAGACAGAAAACAAGTAAACATATGCTATACTGTCAAGGAGTGATATGAAGAAAAACAAAGCAAAAAAAAAGGTGGTAAAGTGCTATTTTAGATAGGGTTATATAGTTGACCTCTCCCCCTGCCCCCCCTTTTTCCCCCTTACAGACAAGAGTAGGGTCTAGTGAAAGGAATGTGGAATCTAACCTATTGCCTACTCAGGTGTATAACTATGGAAAGTTACTTAAGCTTCCTGAGTCTTAGTTTGTTTATTTGTAAAACCTGAGTGATAGTGTCCTTCTCCTTAGTTGCTGTGAGAGTTAAAGGTGAATGCCCAGTATGAAGAGTATTCATTGTTTGGAATTTGTATTGCCCCTGAGGACCTCAGGGACCTGTGCCCCTGCCATGTCTTATTCTTGCATCCTGTAGTTCTTGCAGCCCAGGATCACTGTGAAGATTTTGTTTTATGTTTCGCATGCATTATTTTAAGTAACTTTTCTTTGTTTAGGTGAATTCAAAAACAATATATTTAGAAGCTTTTACTATCCCATCTCCAGGAAGAAGCAATGTAGAATAGATAACTAGAAAAAAATCATAAGAATTTCTGAAATCTTTTTTTTTTTTTTTTTGGTACTGGGGATTAAACTTAGGGGCAGGCACTCGACCACTGAGCCACATCCCCAGCCCTATTTTGTATTTTATTTAGAGACAGGGTCTCACTGAGTTGCTTAAATTTTGCTGAGGCGATCTTCCTGCCTTAGCCTCCCAAACTGCTGGGATTACAGGCATGTGCCACTGCGCCCAGCCTGAAATCTTAATATGATTTTCCCTGTAGGTCCATGATCCCTTATCTTTAATTCTGAAAACCCAAAACTTATTGGACATAGGCTATTTATAGGCTGCAAAAATATTACTGTTTTGGTTATGGAATGTTGCCCTAGAACTTTGTAGCAGAATATATGATATATATATATACACCATCTTGCTTTTAAAACCTGTAAAAATTTTTTCTGAAGTATATTTATTGCAAGGGTTTCAGATTAGGGATTATGGAATTTTATTGAGTTATAACAACAATAGACATGGCCTACTAAGGGAAGCTCTGTTCCCTCATAGGAATCTTACCATGTGAATCTTGGGGTCACAAACATTGTACTTGGAAAGACCCCTGGAGATCACTGTCAGCCTTTTTCATTGGACAGATGAAATAATGACACACCTTGCACAAAATCCTTAGCTAACTTTGATTACAGAAAGTTGTTGCCAGTTTTCCAGTGAAGTTGGGGGGAGAAACATCAAGAACTAGTTCCAGAGTATTTTCTGCCCAGTTTGTTCTCGTCTCCCCCTTGTTTTTCTTTCTCTAGCTTCCTTAGGTAATTAGTTTTTATCATGAAGAAAGCTCTATGCTGTCTCCCAAAAGCAATACAGGGGTATTGGGGCATTGGAAGGGAAAGGTGAATATTATCATTGGGTAAGTTGTGGATGCAAAGTATCCCTCTTGAAACTGTTTCCTGAGGCGAGCGTTGCCATCTTAATGGGGGTTGCATGTAAGAACCCACATTTTAAGAATTAGTGAGCTGTTAACCGTTGTAGGCTCTGAGAGGATGTCAGAGTGAGGAAGATTGGGATAGGTAAATAGACACTGACAATATGGTTTTTATATTTTTTCATCCTTGGCTTATTTTATCCTTAGGGTGCAAATAGCTATGGCCAACTTGGCCTTGGCCATAAGGAAGATGTGCTTTTGCCCCAGCAACTGAATGACTTCTGTAAACCTGAGTGTGTCAGGAGGATCACAGGAGGAGGGGGCCACTCTGCAATTGTCACAGGTGATTTCCTTCAAAAGTAGATAGCTACTCTTTCTTAGGACATTTTCCCCTAGGCTGTTATGTTGCCATCTTTCAGCCTTTTGTATTTTGCAGAGGAGAACATTTTTCTGAAAGAGCCACATAACCATTGGAGAATCCTAGGTGGTTAGAGCTAGAAGAACTTCAGAGATCTTCTGGGCCACCCCAGATCCACCACGTTATACAAATGAAGTTCAGGGAGGAATACTGCTTAAAGTCACAAGGCTAATTAGTGGTAGAGTTGCAACATGTATCATATTTTATACCATATGTTATTATTTAACTTTCACATGAATGAGAAATCTTTGCGGTTAGATTGAATATTCCTTGAGAGCAAGGATCTTGCTAGATTTCACAGTATTTAGGATAGTACTTACTGAGTACTATATGTGTTACAGTATTGCAGAGGAGGGCATTTGCAGCTGGTTCAGAATATGATCTTGGAATCAAACTACCTGGGTTCAAGTCCAGGTTCTATGATGGATTAGCTGTGTGGCCTTGGGCAGATAATCTTTCTGAGCCTTGGTCTCCTCATCTGTTATGGGGGGATAACAGTGGTGGATGAAGAAATTTGGTGAATTAACAGGGCTACATTATAACTTTCATGGATCTTTGGCACTTTGTTTTCATGGACCCCTTCCTCTATAAAGAAATATTGAAAATTACATCTTATAAAAATATATTTTACAATGGTATTTGTGTAAAGATTAATATAATCCAGACTGGATTTTGTGTTACATATGTATTTCTATTATATAATTTGTCTTCGTTTTCAAACAATTTGAAATTAAATCATTCTTATGGACTTCTGAAAGTATTGTGGACCCCAGATACTATATCTAAAGGATGAATTGACCTCACACATAAAGTTCTTAGAACAGTCCCTAGTACATTCTAACTATTAAATGAACATTGACCTTCTTGTTATAGTTGCTGCTCCATTTTGAGGTTGATTGGCCTCTGCTCCAGGACTTGGAATTTCCATTTAGATACTAGATTTGAGATCCTGGACCCTATGTCATTTGTCTTCAGAACATGCATGGGTTATTAACATTAACTTGGGAGAGAAAAAATTATTTATCTTTGACTTCAAATAGCGAATCCCCTTTGCTCACTTTGGTAGTTGTGATTTCTCTTGTGTACACTAGCACCAAAACCTTTATTTTGCAGATGGAGGAGGCCTTTTTGTTTGTGGCCTGAACAAAGATGGGCAGTTGGGACTTGGTCACACAGAGGATGTTCTGTATTTTACCCTCTGCAAATCCCTTCTTGGATGTCCTATCCAACAGGTGGCCTGTGGCTGGGACTTTACTATTATACTCACAGGTAAGTTCACGCCTAGATAAATTGTTATCACTATAAAGACTTTGGAAATTTTGGATTGGAACCACCATTTGACCCAGCTATCCCACTCCTCGGTTTATACCCTAAGGACTTAAAATCAGTATACTACAGTAATTCAGCTACATCAATGTATATACCAGCTCAATTCACAATAGCTAAACTATGGAACCAACCTAGGTGTCCTTCAATAGATGAATGGATAAAGAATATGTGGTATATATATTCAATGGAATATTACTCAGCTTTAAAGAAGAATGAAATTATGGCAGTAAATGGATAGAGTTAGAGAATATCATGCTAAGTGAAATAAGCCAATCCCCCAAAACCAAAGACTGAATGTTTTCTTTAATATGCAGATGCTAATTAACAATAAAGGGGGCAGGGAACTAGAGAAGAATAGAGGTACCTTAGATTCGGTAGAGGGAAATGAAGGGTGGGAAGGGGAGGGAATGTGGGGATACGAAGGATAGTAGAACGAACAGACATTACTTCACATATATATGTGACTGTATGACCAATGTGATTCTATAACATGTACACTCAGAAAAATGAGAAATTATATCCCATCTGTGTGATATATCAAAAATGCATAAATGCATTCTACTGTCATGTATAACTAAAACAAACAAACAAAAATTCGAGTGAGAATAGCAAGGTGGTGGTGACTGGTGATAAAATGAAAACCTCTTTACTCAAATATTCTCTCTGGTTGCCCTGGAAAATTGCAGAGTACTTTTATAAAGAGAGTTTCAATGGTAAAAGAGTCTGGAATTGGGCTGAAAAACTTTGCAAAAGTCTGGGAATGGACTAGATCGCCTTTGGTGGCCACTTCCTGACCCAGAAGTTCTTGGTAGTTGTGTGCCTGGGCTAACTGGTCAGGAGTGCCAGTTAAGGGTTATCATGGGGGAATATGCTGGGGAAGTATGAGGAAGTGGAGATTGTCACAGCAGTGATGGCAGCTTTTTCCCACCATGGGATTTACACACACACACACACACACACACAGATATGGTTGGACAGAACTTTTGGTTTTTGAAGCTAGATGACAATAGAGTGTAGAGGGGTATGGTCAAAGGGTAATAGATAATGTTCATGGGAGCAGCTGGTAATAGTTACTTTGTCAGTTGACTTCTCTGAAATAGTTTTGACTTCTTTGTTCAGCTTTGCCCTTTCTAGCTGGACATACTGGATTTAAAGGGCCATCTATAGTTTCTGACCATTGTCATAGTCTTCTGGCACAGACATCTTCTGACCATGTCACTCTTCTGCCCTTGTAGAGGGTCACTTGCATAGTATAAATCCCAAGCTTTTTTAGCACATGGTCTTCTATAACTGTTCCCTACTTATCTCTGTTGCCTTGTCTCTCATTCTGCACAATTCCTATGCTTTTATTTCTAGGAATACCAACAAATGCATGCTTTTCCTTCTGTTTGGAACAGGTGCACTAGTCTTTCTGATGAACTTATCCCATCTTTTATGACCTGCTGCTCAGGTGTCACCATTTCTGTTCTGTAGAGGGGTTCCATAATATGTGTTGCATTTGACAGTATTTATTAGAATCTAAATAGAAGGCTGGGGATGTGACTCAGTGGTAAGTGCTTGCCTACTATGGAAGAGGCCCTGGGTTTGATCAGCAACATACACATCACATATGCATCCTTATATATGTAGAATTTTGAATAGTAGTTATCATCTGCTGCTGTTTATGAAGTGCTTATTGTGTGTCTGTGTCTGGGTTGTAGGAGTTGATAGATAACACTGTTTCCTGCTCACATTTGGAACCAGTTGTGAGAAAGGCACATGGCAGTCAGAGTGGGAGATCTATCAGCTTTTTACTCATCAGGCTCTGGTGGGAGATAGGCTTAATTAGGAGGACAAGTGGTTCTCATACTCCTCTGGTTCAGACTTATTTTCCCACTTCCAATTCTAGGCCTTTCCTACAGGGGAAACCCTTACTGTATGTCAGCCTAGAATGTCTGAGAGGAAGGGGCTAACCCACACATGTCCTGTCTCTTCTCCCAAACTCACCAATTGGTTAGGTGACCTTTTGTTCCTAGGAAGCAGTGATTATGGGGAAGGGCCAGGAGAAAGGTCTGGAATGTTATAATAATTGTTATAGTCAGCTTTTGCATTGTTGTGACCAGAATACCTGACAAGAACAACTTGGAAAAGTTTATTTGGAGCTTGCAGTTTCAGGGGTTTTAGTTCATAGATGGCCAATTCCATTGCCTTGGGCCTAAGGTGAGGCAGCACATCATGGGGGAAGGGCCCAGTGGAGGAAAAGTGCTCAACTCATGATGGGATCAGAAAGGAGAGAGAGAGAGAGAGAGAGAGAGAGAGAGAGACACGTGTGGGGGTGGGGTGGGAAGGGGATAGGGAAGATATATCCTCCCAGGAAATGCCACCAGTGACTCACCTCCTTTAGCCATGCCCACCTGCCTACATTTATCACCCAGTCATTCAAACTAGAATGGACTGATTAGGTCACACCTCATAATTGAATCATTTTACCTCTGAGTATTCTTGCATTAACAGGAGATTTTGGGGGTCACCTCATATCCAAACCATAACATTCTGGCCTATGGCCCCAAAAGTTCAGGTCCATCTCGCAATGTAAAATGCATTTAATTCATCTCCAGTAGTTCCATAGTCTTAACAGTTTTAACATTACCCAAAAGTCCAAGTCCAAAATCTTATCTGAGATTCAAGGCAAACTGCTGGCTGTGAGCCTGTGTAAAAATCAAAAGCAGGTTTTGTCCAATATACAGTGGCACAGAGTAAACGGTCCCATTTCAAAAGGGAGGAATAGAGGTATAGAAGGAAGGAATGAGGCCAGAGCAAGACTGAAACCCAGCTGGACAAACTAGTCCCATAACCCTGCCAGTAACTCTGCATACAGCCTCTAGGACAAAAGACTGTGTTTTGTGCTCTCCCGAGGACTTGGGCGGTTCTTGCTTTGCCAGTTGTAGCACACATGGGCTCTCTTTTAGCCTGGCTTTCTCTACAGCCAGTGGCTTTTCTTGACAGACAGTCCATGTTACTGACTTCTCTTAATTCATGGGGTCTCCTTTCCAGCTTTGACTTCACCTTCACAGCTTCACACATCATCCTGTCAGGGACGATGCATAGGGACCGTGACTCTACTGCACTTTACCTGTCCTCTCAGGCTTTCCTTTGAAATGTTGGTGGAAGCCTTCATGACCCCTTAACTCAAGCATCCTGTATTCCTGTAGAACCAGCACCATGTGGATAATGCCAAGGTCTGGCAGTACCTGGGCCCCCTGGTGTCATGGCTGCTGTGGCCTTTGAGTGCTTGTGTGTCTCAGCATGGTGAAACAACTTCTAGGCCGCCCTGTGCAATCAGGGTACTACCATGTTCTCTTTGCAAAGGACTTTTCCTTTCTAGACCTTGAACCTGTAATGGGTATGGTCTTGCAAATTCTTGAGATACCCTACCCTCAAAGCATCTTTCCTATGGTCTCTGTGTGAAGTACTTACCATCTCTTTAGGGGTTATAATCTCTTCAACAAGCACATCTTCCTTGACCTTAGCTTTACATGCACTTTTTGGGCCAAACTGCAAATTTTAAAAATTCTTTGGTTGTTTTCTGCTCCCAATTCTCACCGTAAACTTGGCTAAACGCTGCCAGCAATATCTATGCCATGGACTGAATACTGTGTTGCCTTGGAATTTATTCTGCCAGATTAATTAGTCTGTCACTTTTAAATTCAGGCTCACACAAATTCTCAGGACACGGGTTCTTTATCAGAATATAACACGAGTGGCATCTAGTCCAATTTCTGAGAGAGTCCTCATTTCCCTCTGAAACCTAATGAACACAGTCCATGTTCCTATTGGGATTCTGAGATCCTACAAGAATCACCCATTAAGCTCTGCTTATAATATTCTAAAAATTCCCAGCTTTCATCTTTTTTTTTTGTGGGGGGTGGGTACCAAGGATTGAACTCAGTGTGGCTCTTAACCACTGAATCACATCCCCAACCCTGTTTTGTTTTTTATTTAGAGACAGAGTCTCATTGAATTGCTTAGCACCTTGCCATTGCTGAGGGTGGTTTTGAACTTGCTATCCTCTTGCCTCAGCCTCTTGAGCTCTGGGATTACAGGTGTGCACCACCGGGCCCAGCTCATCTTTTTAAAAAAAAAATTTTTTTTTTTTTTCAGTTTTTGATAGACCTTTATTTTGTTTATTTATATGAGGTACTGAGAATTGAATCTAGTGCCTCACAAGTGCTAGGCAAGCACTCTACCATTGAGCCACAATTCCAGCCCCAGCTTGCATCTCTAAGCTTCAAAATTTCTCCTGCAAACCAGCTCCAAAGGCTTTTGAACCACATGGTCATGTTAGTCATAGCAATGACCTCACTTCTTGGTACTGATTTTGCACCACTGTTGTGAGAAACACACTCACCTGTCCAAACCCAGAGAATGGATTGAGAGACAAGAGGTATAGAGAAAGCAAGGCTTTTAATGACAGTCTTGCAAAATTAGGTCTGTGTGAGAAAGCACACCCAGAGCTATTACAATCAGCATTTTATTCCATAGTTTGCAATGCCCCTCCCCCAGTTCCTCATTGGTTGAGTACTATGGGGTGTACAGTCTTCCTGAATGTTGCCTAGGTTTTACTGTCTCCTATTGGGTTATTTAAAGAAATGTACCTTTAGTTGTCCCCACTTCCCTTTGTTCTATTGTGGTAGGAAGGCCTTTTTGGGTTGAATGTATCTTGGCACATACATAATTTATCTTTGTGGGTTAGGCTGACCCCTTCCCCCTACTTCCTGTTTGTGAGGGGGAAGGAGCTGTGAATTTGTCCTACTCTGGTTAACTGCTTTTAACTTTCCACTCGGCTCTCCCCTCTAGCTGCTTTTCTTTCATCTCAAGTAATTTTATATTTAAGGCTAAATATTGTATTCTGAAAATGGACAATTAGACTCTATTCTGAGACCAAAATACTTGAAAATAATAACTTAGAGGAGGAAAAGCTTATTTTGGGTTAATGGTTTCAGAGATCTCAGTTCCTAGACAGCTGACTTCATTGCCCTGGGCCTAAAGCAAGGCAGTGCATCATGGGTGCCAGGCCCAGTAGAAGAAAACTGCTTGGCTCATGGTGGGATCCGGAAACAGAGAGAAAGAGGGGGGTATGGAGGGAGAGGGAGAGGAAAGGACCCACAAGGAACATACCTCCTTCCACGGAATGCCCCCAGTGACTTGTCTCCTCTAGTCATGCCTGTCTGCCTACAGTTACCACCCAGTCATTCAAACTAGGATGGACTGATTAAGTTACAGCTTTCATAATCAAATCATTTAACCTCTGAATTTTCCTGTATTAACAGGAGATTTTGGTGGATATCTCATATTTAAACCATGACAGTGATGGAAATGCTGTCACATGGAAACCTGAAAAGTAGGGAATAGGTACCTTCTCATTCCAGTACTAGGTGCTAGCCTGTGTTCTGCACAGATAATCTGCCATTAATGACAGAGTGTAATAATAATCTATGTAGAACACTTTGCCCAGTGCCGCGTACTTTCACTCCTAGATTAATAACAGCAGGGAATTGGTTCTGAATGTACTGAAGCTTGGCATCTCTATGTTTTTTTCATGTTTTTGCATTTCTTACACTTTAGTATTCACCCATTGTTCACATGTCTCACTTTATAGATTTGCAGTTTATTTATTTGTATTTTGCAGAAAATGGTCAAGTTCTATCATGTGGATCCAATTCCTTTGGCCAGTTAGGAGTCCCTCATGGGCCTCGAAGATGTGTGGTTCCCCAGGCCATAGAGGTGAGGATATCTAATATGGGAGGATATCTAATATTGCTTGTGTCCTGTTAAAGTGTTTCCAGTCTATTACAGTTATCCTTACCCATAGAAAATCCATGGAGTAGCAGAATTTGAGCTGAAAATAAGTATTTATGGGAAAAAATTAGTTTTGGGGGAATTGATGTTATGAGCAAAAAACCCACACCTCTGGTTAATCCTTATACACATTATAAAGTTTTATAAACCAAAATAATAAAGTTAATATACCCCATAAGGATAATAATGACATTTTAAAATTCCAAGATTAGTAATAATGGGAATTATGTGAGAGATAGGTTCAAGATAAAAATGACTTGCCTAGAGACATTAAGCTAAGCATTATAGGCTAGTGCTATCCAATAGAAATATAATGTTAACCCCATATGTAATTTAAAAATTTATAGTAGCTTTGTTTAAAAAAGTAAACAAAATTAATTTTTAAATAATAGCTTTATTGAGCTACAATACATATATCATAAAATTTACCCTTTTAAGATGTAGAATTCAGTGGTTTTTAGTGTATTCTAGATATGAGCAGCTGTTGCCATAATATAATAATTTTAGAACATTTTCATCACCATCTAAAGAAACTACTCAGTAGCAGTCACTTTCCATTTTTCTGTCCCCCAGTCCCTAGTGACTAATAATTTATTTTTGTATGCATTTGCCTGTTTTGGTTGTTTCACATAAGTGTAATTGTACCATATTTGACCTTTTGTGTTTAGCTTCTTTCTGTTCATGTGATGTTTTCAAGTTTTATCCATGTTGCAGCATGCAGGTGAAATTAACTTTAATTACTTTGAAACTAATCCAGTGCATCCAAGTTATTATCATTTCAGTGTGTCACCAATATAAAATTTATACTTGAGATATTTTATACTCTTTATTTTGAACTAAGCCTATGAACTTTGGTGTATATTTTTTATTTAGAGTATGTCTCAGTTTAGTCTAATCACATTTCAAGTGTTCATTGCCTACATGTAGCTAGTGACTTATACATCAGATAGTACAGTGTGAAACAGGCTCTTCTCTCTTTTTTTTTTTAACCTTTGTTTTTAATCTGGCTAGAGATTGAACCCACAGGTGCTTAATCATTGAGCCTCATCCTCAGCTCTTTTTATTTTTTATTTTGAGACAGGGTCTGACTAAGTTACTTAGAGCCTTGTTTAGTTGCTGAGGCTGGCCTCAAACTTGAGATCCTTCTACCTCAGCCTCCCAAGCTTCTGTGATTACTGGCATGTGCCACCAAACCTGACTGAAACAGAGCTCTTGACCCTAGTTCAGAACTCTTTTCACTGCCTCAAACTTAAAATGTATACTTTTGTGAAGTTTATATTTTATGTGATCACAAGATAAATATGGAATTTTTAAAGAAATATGCTGAAAACTAAAATAAGTTCACCACCCAAGCTATTTAAGAGTGGAAAATCTCTTTTCTTTGGAGAGAGTTTAGTCCTGTTCCTATCATCGTGCTGAATTGAGTTGTGATCTGAGATGTGTTATTTGGGGGTAATAGTTCCCATAGTATGCATACAAGTCTAGGCTCTATATTCCCTGCTGTGGGAAATGTTATAGCTCCCAATTGCAAGTAGATGGCCTTGTAAGAACCTACATATAAGTCATAATTAATTTAGCTTAATTATAATTCATATAATTAAAGAGGACAGAGGAACAAAGGTTAAAATATATTAGATGACAGAAAGAAAAATTAAAAGGAAGGTATATTCAAGTTTTATCAGCAGGAAGATTTGCTCTTCTCCAAGGCTAATGTGCTTGGGGACTCCACTTAAATAGTAAAGTCTCCAGAATAAAGAAGGCCAGAGCTTTGTCCTCTATGCTGATCAGACTGCCTTTGGGTGTTGTATTCTGTGTGGATTTGGTGCTTAGGTAGTGGGCATAGAGGTATATAAGACTCAGGTTCTGCCCTTGAGGTCCCCAAAGAAATACATTATGGACTTTAAATAAACAATGTGATTAAAGCCTCCTGTGGTAAGTGATTGATGCATTTACAATTCCTTTAAGAGAAAGAAATAGAGCCAACCAAAGCATATTTATAGGAGAGAAACCAGGAGGGAGAGAGAATTTGAAGCTCAATGATAGCTGGTGGAACTGGGGATATTTTGCTTAAAGAAGAGATCTACATTAGTTATTCATTGTTACATAGCAAATTACCCCCAAACCCAGCACCCTAAAACAATAATCATTATTCCATTGTTTTGAGAGTCAGGAATCAAGGAACCACCAGCTGGTTTTTCTCGAGGTGTCAGTCAATATCAGCTGGTGTATACACGGTCTCTGAAAGAGAAACTGTCTGGCAAACCCATTTCTATCTGTCTCATAGGGCTGTTGGCAGGAGGCTTCAGTTCCAGCCATGTGGGCCTCTCTAAAAGACTATTCAGACATGGTAGGGAGGCTTCTCCCAAGAGTGATTTGAGAGCTGGAGATGCCAGGCAGGAAGTCTCCCTGCCTTTTATCACTTCATCTCTGAGTCACTTATCTCTTCCTTATTCTTTTTATTAGAAGTGTGTCACTAAGTCCAGCCCACACAGGGGAGGGGAATTAAGCTCTACATCTTGAAGTGAGTAGTATCAAAGAATTTGAGGACCTATTTTTAAAACCACCACAAGATGTCTTAGAGAGGACATGACAACTGTCTTCAAATATTTGGAAAGCATTGTCAGAAGCTACAGGCAGATAGATTTGGCTCCACTGAAAGAGAGAAATGAAACTCTGCAGAGATGGAACAGGCACCTGGGGAGGTTGTGAGCCTTGTGTCACTGGAGGTTGGTGTTGGGCAGGGGTTGGATGACCACCTGCTGGAGGAGTTTCTAGCATTGGAGAGGGATTGGACTAAATCAGAAGTGGGAAAACTAGAACATAGCTGTGCCCATTCATTTTTGTATATTCTATAGCTGTTTTCATTATAGTATTAGAGCAGAGTTGTGCAACAGGAACCATGTTACCTGTAAAGTCTAAAATATATACTATCTAGTCCTTTTAGGAAACATTTATTAATCCCTGGACTGGATGACCTTGAAGGTCTCTCCCAGCCCTATGAGGCATTGTGACATATTTTTAAAGTGTTTTTTTCTTTTAAGGATAAATATAGAAGTATTTATGGGTAGAATTGTTGGGAGAAGAAGGCTAACGCAGCCGGACACATACTGAAGACCATACTGCATTGTATTTGGGTATAAAATACATAAAATTCTGTAGATGGATGATCTAAGTCCTTTTCTTTGTTTTGACAGCTCCTGAGGGAAAAGGTTGTTTGTGTTGCTGCTGGACTGAGGCATGCGTTAGCTGCTACAGGTGATCATTTTGCCTTTATTTTCTAAATGCACTTTAGTAAGGAGGAACTGAGCTTTAGGAGAAAAATGCTTTAAGGAGTATTTCAAAGGGTCCTCACCTGTTGTAGTTCTGATTAAAAGGAGGGAATGTAGGGCAGAAGTCATGTAGGAAAGCCTATAGTAGGAGGAAGGAAGGAAAAAAAAAATTTTAATTCTAGGTATGGTTTTAAATTTTTCTTGATTTGATTCATTTAGTCATTACAACCAGGAAGTGATATGAGTTGAGTTTTTACATGTGACAAAACTGAGGCCCAGAGAGGTTAAAGTGCTCGTGTAAGGTTATGTGTGGTAAGATGGGAAGAGGTAGAGCTGGGATCAGAGTCTGGGATGGTTGAAATTCCAAGTCACATGGTCTTCTCAGGGAACTGCGTTGCCTTCCTAGCAGATTTTAATATGTATTAATTTCAAAGCTTGACATGAGCTTGTTTCCTGTACCATGAGTGGGTGATAAAGACTGTATGTAAGTGAGATGGAGAAGGGAGACATCATGTGGATTTTGCTTAGACCCTGGGCATAAAGGTAAATAGAGTCAGGTTTTTCCCTAGGAGTCCTAAAGTTTACAAATACAGTGATTAATGCATATACAGTTCCTTTAAAAAAGAGAGAGCTCGGACTGGGGTTGTGGCTCAGTGGTGAAGCGCTCGCCTAGCATGTGTGAGGCCCTGGGTTCAATCCTCAGCGCCACATAATAAATATAATAAAGGTATTGTGTCCAATTACAACCAAAAAATAAATAATTAAAAAAAGAGAGCAACCAGAGCATATTAAATTTTTTTTGATAATTGTAGATTAACAATATACCTTTATTTTTATTTGTTTATTTTTAAGGGGTGCTAAGGATCAAACTCAGTACCTCACACATGCTAGGCAAGTACTCTGCCACTGTGAGCTATAGCCCCAGCCTCAGAGCATATTTTCAGGAGAGAAACTAGGAAGGAGAGAGAATTTGAAATGCAGGGATGGGTGGGAGAACAGTGACCCTTTGACCTTTTCTCTTTTATTTTTCCGGTCACATTCCTTTTGTCCTTATGCACAATACTAATTAGTGGTGGCAGACAAGCTTCTGTGCATTGTCCAGTTGTAGAGTGGAGAGAAGAGAAGGTGGGGAAGGAAAATTCAGTGCAGCACTGTACTGATCATCTCCTACAGCTTAACCTTGATCATATATTTTTCAAAAAGATTAAAATTATGTATATTGATAATTGTAGATTTATATGCAATTATAAAAAATGAAATAAACCTTATGTGCTGTTCTTCTAGTTTTCCCCATTGTAACATTTTACAAAATTATAGTGTATACTCAACTAGTATATCAACATTGGTACAGTCAAGACACAGAACAGTTCCATCCTCATAAGGGTCTCTGATGTTGCCCTTTTACTGCCACATGCGCTTCCTGCCTGTCCCCATTTCCTTCTTAGTCCTTGACGAGTACTCTTCTATTTTCCATCTTTATAATGTTTTCATTTAAAAAATGTTATATAAATGGTATCATATAGTGCCTAATCCTTTCTGAGGCTGACTTTTTTCAATCAGTACAGTTCCCTGGAGATTCTTCCAAGTTATGTGTACCAATAATTCACTCTTTTTTATTGCTGAGTAGTATTCCATAGTATGAATGTATCACTCACTATAATAGCCTTCCAGGGATACTGTCAAAAATGCCACGGACTGGGGGCTTTAAACAACATAAATTTATTTTCTCACCATTATGGAGACTCAAAGTCCAACATCAATATGCTGCTAGAATTGGTTTCTGGGGACGCATCTCTTTCTGGCTTGTAGATGGCCACCTTCTTGCTGTTTCCTCATAGCATCTTTCCTCTGTGAACTTGTGCAAAGAGAGATTTCCAGTGTCTCTTTCCCTTTTTTATAAAACCACCAGTCCTACTGGATTAGGGCCTCCCATATGATATCATTTAACTTTTATTTTCTCCTTTGGGTCCTCTCTCCAAATATAGTCACATTGGGCATTAGGGATTTAACATCTGAATTTTGGTGGGACACAGTTCAGTCTATAACAATAACTGTTAAATCAATCACTCATTGAAGAACATCTGGGTTATTTGCCGTTTTGAGCTATTAAGAATAGCGCTACTATATGCATTTGTGGACAGGTTTTATATGAACATAAATTTTCTTTTCTTTGAAATACATGCCCAGCAGTATGATTGCTGAGTTGTATGGCGGTGGTTACACTTTTATAAGTAGGTTCTTCTCTTAGAAATCATCAGGGCAAGAGAATTGCCTGTCAGTAAATTTCTTCCCTCTTTTGTACCAACTTTCTGTAATTGCCAGTCTTTACATTTTTAAAAAACAGCTTTATTGGGCTACAGTTGTTATTCATATGTAATGTGTACAACTTGATGGATTTGGATATGTGCAAATAACTGTGATGTCATCACTACCATCAAGGTCATAGACATATCCAGTACCTCTCAATGTTTCCTTGATGCCCTTTGTTTTGTTTGTGCGTGCGTGTGTGTGTGTGTGTGTGTTTGTGTCAAAAACACTTAACGTGAAACTTACATTCTTAGCAAATGTTGAAGTGCCCATTACTGTATTGTTAACTACAGGCACTGTTGCACAGCAGAGTCATCTAGCATAGCTGATGCTATATACCCTTGAACAACAACTCTCTATTTCTTCTGCACCCCTTGCCCCGCCAACTACTGTTGTTCTTTATGCTTCTATGAATTTGGCTATCACAGATTCCTCATATACATAGTATCATGCAGCATTCATTCTGTATCTGAATAATATCATCCAGATTCATTCACATTGACACAAATGACAGGATTTCCTTCTTTTTGTTAAGGCTGAATGATATTCCATTGTATGTATATACTGCCACTTTCTCTATCCACTCATCTGTTGATGGCTGCTTTGGTTGTTTTCATATCTTGGCTTTTGTATGCAATGCTGTAAAGAACATGAGAATACAGCTATTTCTCCAAGATCCTGATTCCAGTTGTTTTGATTATATAGCCAGAAATGGGATCCCTAAATCATATGATAGTTCTTTTTTTAATATTTTGAGGAACTATTATATTGTTTTTTTGTTACATTTGCACCATTTTTCATTCATAATAACAGTGTATTAGGCTCTAGTCTCTTCCTGTCCTCACCAACACTTTTTTTTTTTTTAAATAATAGCTTTCCTAACAGATATGAGGTAAAGTCTCACTGTAGTTTTGATTTGCATTTTCCTGATCATGAACGATGTTGAATGTCTTTTCATATACCTATTAGTCATTTGTATGTCTTCTTTGGAGAAATGTCTGTTCAATTCCTTTGTCCTTTTCAAAATTTTTGCTATTGAGTTGAAAGAGTTCCTTATATTTTAGAAATTAACCCCTTATCATACAGATGGCTTGCAAGACATTGATGAATATAATTGCTACTACTTATTCATTCTGTCGAGGCCTCTTCACCACCACCATCTAATTTGTAAATATTTCTGCGTGTATTTCTGAAAGATAAGTAAGTACTCTTTTTGAAAATGTTGCTGTACTACCTTCATCAAACCTAAAAAAAAAAAAAAAAATAATTGTAATATCAGTAAGAATCCTGTTGGGATTTAAATTTTTCTATAACATGTTTTTATGGTTTTTTGAATTGGGATCTGTTAAGTCCAGGTATTATAATTGGTTGATATATATTTCAAATCTCTTTAAAAATGTATTTGTTTCTTTTGAACATTTATGCTATGTATACTTTGCCACATATAAATGTAATCATATAGTATTTATTCTTGTAAGTGGCTTACTTAGTATAAGGTTCTCAAGGTTCATCCACGGAATAGCATGATAGCATGTCAACATTTTTTTTTTTTTTTTTTAACTATGGATTGAACTCAGGGCCGCTTAACCTCAGAGTTACATCCCAAGCCCTTTTTATTTTTTATTTATATAGAGTGGGTCTTGCTAAGTTGCTTAGGGCCTTGCTAAGTTCCTGAGGCTGACTTTGAACTTGTGATCTTCCTAGCTCAGCCTCCTGAGTTGCTGGGATTACAGATGTGCACCATCTTGCCCAGGAACATTTCTGTACTTTTTAAGGTTGATAATACTCTATTGTTGTGTGTTTGTGTGTGTTTATCCATTCATCTGTCAAAGTGCGCTTGAGTTGCTTCCATGTTTTAGCTATTGTGAATAATACTGGTATGAACATGAGTGTTCAAATGCCTCTTCAAGATCCTACTTTCAATTCTTTTAAATGTATACCTGGAAGCAGAATTGCTGGGTAACATGGTAATTCTATTTTTTCACTTTTTGAGGTACTGTTGTACTGTTTTCCATAGCAGTCACATTATTTTACATTCCCACCAACAGTGCACAAAGGTTCTCACAGGTTCACTAACACTTGTTATTTTCTGGGATTTTTGTTTTGTTAGATATAGCATCCAAATGGTGTGAGGTGGTTTCTCATTGTGGTTTTGATTTGCATTTCCTTAATGATTAGTGATGTTGAGCATTTTTTCTTGTGTTTAATTGGCCATTAATGTATCTTCTTGGAGAAATGTCTATTCACGTTCTTCGACTATTTAAAAATTGGGTTTTGGTTTGTTTTTGATTGACTTTTTGGAGTTCCATATATATATTGTGGATATTAATCCTTTATCATTTATCTGAAAATCCTTTTATTATGTAGTTTTTTTTCTCTTTGAAATTTATTTGTTGAGGGGATTTTTAAGTTTTATTTTACATAAATTTGTGCTTTGTTTATATTGTGCCTATACTTTATTTTTTCATTAAGCAAACTTGTCTGTTTACTGCCCAAGGGACCACTGGTTATAGTATGCTTCCAGAGGAATAGACCTTAATGCTGGTGTTGGATTATAGGTACAATTGCACACATCTGAGTGTAGGCAAAATACATGGATTTTTTTGTGTGTATTTGTATTCAGAATATGAGATGCAGTGGACATGGTAATAAAAGCCCTCTCATTGAAATCATGATTATTAACCTGTCTCAAAGTCATAAATATTTATTTATTTTGGCGATGGAGAATCTTTGAACTCATCTTGGTGTGTTGGGAAGGACACTACCTTAAGGGTCAGGAGAGCTGAGTCCTGGCTTTTTCTTTGTGGTACAAGATCCCCATGTGATCTTGCACAAATCACAATCCTCTCTTAAGGTCTCAGTTTCCTCATCTAGTAGATATGAGGAATGAGCTTGATGATCTTCAAAGTCCTTTCTATTTGGCTTAGAGTCTGAGTTATGTTCTCAGGCTAACCATGAGCAAGGTACATTCTAGTGATTTGACTCAGGAGTGTCCTTGAATTTTTTGGATAAGTTTTAATAAGTTTTACTATATTGAATTTCTCTTTGATAGTCTTAGATTGCCCTGACGACTGGAATTTTGATTGGTTTGGAGGTAATCCCTGTGACCAGTGATTGGAACCCTTGATGCAATTGAGCTTCTCCATAATACTCAGGTTGACAGAGTGAATTCAGAATTTCCCATAGTAGTGAGGTTCAAAAGGCAATTTGGTCTTATCCTGATGTACATTTTCTTTATTTTCTCTTCTGCTCTTTTGGGAAGTGAGTGGCATCGTGTTCCAGTGGGGGACTGGTTTGGCATCATCTGGACGACGGTCATCCCTCAGGCAGACTCTCCCATTATTTTTGACAGCAAAGGAACCAAGCAGAGTTACAGGTGAGGCCTTTATTTATTTTTTGTGAGAAAGTAAGAGACATAGACATGCAGAAAATGGGTAAATGGTTTTGTACTTTTGCTTTTTCTTTATCTATCTTACTCTCTCTATTAGTTGGTATGATAGTCTTGTTGGGATTTTTATGCGTCCAGTAAAAGTAACCCTCTTGGCTGCCAGAGTTTGGGTCCTGTGGAGAGATAGATGTAAGTCAGATAGAGATCAAAAGATGGAGAATCAAAGGGTGGAGATCAAAATGGTAGCTCTAGAACTGTTAAAAACTACTTGGAGTAGTTTTATAATGAGCCTGTAAATTCTGAATTTTAGATTGAACTTAATCTACCAGGCACTGTTTCCTCAAAAGGACCGTGGGCTACTTTTCACATGCCTAGTTTCTTCTCCCAAAAGGGAAGCAGGAGTGAGCAAGGATGTAGAGAGGACCAGGAATGCCCCTTTAGGGAGTTCTCTACATGAAAATACGAGGAGTAGGTGATAAGTGTTCCTTTTGCTCATAGGTCTGTTGGTTGATCTTCTGTTGGTCATTTGGTCTATAGAGGCTTCTCCTCCTCAGCCTCCTTCCTTCCCTCTTTTCCCGCCTCTCTCTTTGAGCTCTTATTCTCTGTTTTCTATTCTCTTTGTGGGCCTTTGTCTCTCTATATTTAGCACCACGTTTCTATCTCCTCTTCTGACTTTTGTGACTCTGTTTACTGCAGGTTGGTTGTAGGAAAACCTGCAAGAGACCTGAACAAAGGAGGGATTTTTGAGGGTGGTGGAAATGTGTGTGGAAAGAATAGGAAAGGGGAGCTGCTGTGGGAGTGATGTACCTGAGTGTTGGGATCATTCTGATTTTTCTAAGTTCTAGAGTGTCTCTCAGCTGGAGCTGGGGTTAGATTTCTGATGCCAACAGATTCAGTTGGGAGGGTGTGCTCAACCCTTCCCAAACCCTTTTCTTTTTTCATCAAGGTGTTCACTGCTCCCTAGGTATTCCCTGCTTTCTCATGACCTCCAAGCCTGTGGGCACACTGTTTCCTCTACCTGAAATGCCTTTCCTTCATGCTCCTTTTGGGAAAATTTCAAGAATTTTTCAAGGCCTAGCTGAGATACAGCTTTCTCAGTAAAGAATCTTTCCTCTTTTAGCATCCATTGCATTTTCTTCATAGGCAGGGATTGTTTATATGTTTTCTCATATGCCAAGGGTTATGTGCATTTAAGGGTCAAGAACTATGTGGCATTCTTCTGTATTACCACAGGACCAGTTACTAGAAGGAGTAAAAGTTGTTTATTTTATTTAACTGAACCTATTTAAGGTCTGCTTGGAGTAACAGTTTAGATTGCGAGTTGATTTGGGGAAGTTTTCTGATGAAAAATTAGAATGAAAATTAACTTCCTGCCCTCAAAGTCTTTCACTCTTTATTCTCCCATCGTCACCCTGTTTTCACAGATTCTGGAGCTAGATCCTTTACTGTCTCCTCTTCAGTTTGCTACTAGTAGCCCAGGTTTCCTCTCTGGTGAATGTGGCTGGAAATGTCTTATTATCATTCCACAGGATACCTGAAGAAGTCTTTTGTGAAGATACTAATTAAACAGAAGCATCAGAAATAGAGTTATGGAATAGACTGCATTTATTTGCATGCTAAATCACATGTTTCTACAGGTTTTACCAATTTCTAGCAGGGTTGATTGGGATTCTACCTTGTCAGTAAAGGCAGTGGAATTAAGGAAGGAAAAATACTAGATTTGGAGATGGAAGTCTAGTTCAAGTTCTGGTTCTATCTCTGTCTTGAGGAGGTCTGTGTTTGTATTTACATCCTGCATATGATAGTAGCTGAATGTATGAGATGTCATTGTTTCTCACACAGCAGACAGAGCTAGGAAATGTACACACAGACACACAGACACACACACACACACACACACACACATACACACACACATTTTTACACACATAAGCCTATCTATTTCTAGAAACCATGAATTTACACTGATTTTTCTATTACCAACTAATACCAGAAGCATGTTTCTAGCTTTCTCACTTTTCACATTTGAACCTTCCTTTCCTCTCTGGTATTGAGGAACCTGTCTTCTTTATTCTCAATATATTTACTTCTCTATTTCACTCCCTAGTAGGTTCCAGTCTCCCACCGTGTAGCCATCTTCTTGGCCAGTGCTGCTGTCTCACACCTGCCTGTGCTGGCTGAGTTTCTCCTCACACCTAGGTGGTGATGGCTCACGGTCCCTCCTCCACCCAGTTTGTTCTGTTATCAACATAATTCAAAAGAAAAAAAAATTTTTTTTTGTAGGCCTAGAGAATTCTAAAGCAATATGTGTTCTTGCTGGCTCAGACCACTCAGCTTCATTAACAGGTAGGTACCAACTCTTTCACAGTTTAATATGCCATTCAGAACTTTGTGAGTGATGGCCTAGAGTGTTGATATTTGGATACAGAGGGAAGGTAATAGATTTTAAAGCCAGAATTCTGATGCCCCCACTGGTATAATCTTATGCAGATTATTTTACCATTTTTTGTCCATTTCCTTATCTATAAAATACTTTGTGGGTAATTATGAAAATTAAATATGATAATGTTAAGCACTCACATAAAACATAGGCTTACTTCATTTTCTTCTGAGTTTGCTTTCTCAATTAAACAAGAAGGATGAGAATATCTTCTCAGGGTAATTGCAATGGTTAAATCATATAATGAACAGTAAATTTATATATAGTCATGAGTTGCTCAGTGAAGGGGTTACCTAATCCATTTCTATGTCTAATATAACTAAATGCTATCTTTCTATACTTTCTAGCTGTTTAGTCTCAGACTAACCTATTTTATTCATCTATATCTTTTTAATTTGTTTGTCTCTGTTTTCTCTATTTTGTTAACTTACATATATATATATATTTTTTTTTCTTTCATCTATTCTTTAACTTAAGTACCTATATATAAATAAGCCTACAAGTTTTATTCTCTGATCTGCTTTATATTATTATGTATTTTCCTATTTCATCCCTTTATTTCTATCTTTTCCATATCCATTTTTCTATCTAATATATTTTTTTTCTCACACTGTAGTTTTCTATCTGGCTATGTGTCCACCCATCCATTGGACATGCTCATCAAACATAGTATGAACTTTCTAGTGACTTTCCTTAGGAGGCAATGCATTGTTTTCTAGGCAGCAGTTATCCTTTTGTTTTGATTCATATTGTCCTATTCTCTGCTGGTAGGGCTAGACTGGAGGCTGTACCTCTCAGAGATTTAATATTTTTTATAAGACCTCCACTCATAATTGAATGCATTTCATTTTTAAGCAAAAGGAGGGACATTCATACTTAGTGTTCTTTGTGTTTTATGTGGAAACTCAGGTGTGTATTAAAGGTAAATTAATGATGGCATGCATTCTCCCATATCAAATTTACAGTGTTGTCCAACTGGACACTCCTGTTGTTTCCAGAGCACCAGAGTCATAGTGAGAGAGTTTAAATACTTTACAAATTCTGAGCTATGCATAATTAGTTGCTTAATGAGTTTAAAACACAAAGTAACAAAAGAAACATCTACTTTTAGTGTGCGACTCACATTAGATAGATTTTTGTTTGTCAAAGTGTTAAGTTGAAATGAATGCTAAGTGTAAGCAACACTACTGGGCACCTGGTTTCACCTCTCCTTTTACAGAGGAAGAATTGGAGACTCCAAGATGAGAAGTGAGTTGTTCAAGCCTACAGTCAATGAGGGAGGGGGAGCTTCTCTCTGAGTGTAAAAGTAGACTGAGGCAGACATTTCTCCTGTGTTCTAAACAATTTGAAATGGCTGACATTATATACACCATAGAAATTGTCTGATCTCCTGCTAATGTCGATTTCTTAAAAAGTCTTGTGATTAGTAAATTATTTCATATGTGGCACTGTTCCTATGGTATTTTTTATACATCTAAACTTTGAATATTTTTTGAGATTTAATCATGACATTGACTATTTTGAAGTGTCTATTTAGTCATTTTTAGTATATTCACAAACTGAATTGTTTTTCAGTATTTTGAAAGTGATTTAAAAATTGTCAAGGGCTGGGATTGTGGCTCAGCGGTAGAGCACTTGCCTAGGGCAGGACCCGGGTTCGATGCTCAGCACCACATAAAAATAAAGGCATTGTGTTGTGTCCATCTACACCTAAAAAATAAATGTTTTAAAAAATTGTCAAGATTAATAATCCTCCTTTCTCATCTAGTTCAAGCTGTTAACACATTGGATTTTGTTCAGTGCTCTTTAGACCTTTTTTCTGGAGTCCTTGTAGATTGTGTAACTCTTTGGCATTGCAGCAGAATTTAATTTTACCTGCTGATGCAACAGTGTAATGATCCTCATGTGGAAGTCAGTTTGTCTTTCAAAAAGATGTTAGATGAACTAAGATAGATTAAGGCTTAATACAAATTGTGCTTTATCACCAGTGGCATCTTCATAGCTCACCAATTTACTTAATGGATTGGTATTTTGCTGAGGGGCCTTCTTTGCCCTCTTATATGGGATTCTCATACTTCATACACCTTGATGAAGTCCAGGGAGGTTGCCCTTTCTCTGAGAATGAAGTATACCAAATTCACTTCAAAAAACTGCAGAATATCAGTGCTGCAGGGTTTCCTAGGTGGCAAAAAGGCTTCAATGATTTACATTCTGCCATTTAGAGTTGAGGAAACAAGAGTCCCAGAATGTGGAGTGAAGTGCTCAGTTTCAAATAGTGACCAAATAGTAGATGGCGCTTGAACTAGAGACCTCTGAGCCCTGCTCTAGTGTCCTTTCATGCTACTCTTTGGCTTTTGATTAGTTTTTGGAAATATATCAGCAGCCCTAGGGCAAGCAATATTATAAAGTTTTATTGGCAGGTCACAAAATGCAGTGGAAGCTGAGTTGGTTTTTAGTTCCCTTATTGACTATGAGTTCTTATTAACCATGTGAGCTTGAAAAGTCATTTAACATCTTCCAAGTTTGATTAACTTATCTTCTAGAACAGTGCTTTCTGATAGAAATAAAATGTGAGCCACATTTCAAAAAGTAAAAAGAAACAGTTGGAAATGAACTTTAATATTATATGTACTTTAACTCAGTATATTCAAAATAGTATTTCAGTGTGTAATCAATATTAAAATTATTAATGAGGTACACTTCTCTTTTGCACCAAGTTTTTGCAGTTCACTCTGTATTTTTTTACTTCTAAGATATCTCAGTTTGGACTACCCATATTTCAAGTGGTCAGTAGCCACATATGGCTAGTGCTATTGGTTCGTACAGTTTTAGAATCTTGAAGTGTTAGGGCTGAGAAAGCTTATAGAGCACCTGAGTAGTCATGGCTTCATTTTGTTTGACCTTTTATCTAAAAGATATATTTGAACTTGAATGTCTTTTAGACAGGCATGTGCTTTCTGGTTTACCACAGTTGCCACCAATTGTTCTTGTTCCAGCATCATCAGTCATGTTATCTGCCCTTCTGGACCAACTATCCTCCTTTCCACTACACAGGCTTTAGAGAGGCAGTGATTTGTCCAAGGTCAATAGATAGTTAGTGGATCCAGGAATAGAAGCCAGAGTCACTTGATTCTGAATTTGCTTTTTTTTTCTGTTAAATCACAATGGCAGTCATTTCTGTTTATATCACAAGATTATTGTGAGGTTGAAATGTTGCACAGATGTGATGTGGTAGCTTTATATTTTCTGCTGGACAGGATAAACAATGAAAATAATCCTATGTTTCTAAAGTTTAAATAGAAATAGTTTGTCTTTTAACTTACTATTTTAACAAGTTAAAAAATTTTCCCCCCAAAGGAAATGTGAGCATATATTAAAAAAAAAAGAATACGTCTCATAGAGGATAGATGTGGAATGAATATTTGTTGAGTGAATGAATAAAGAAAAATAACTACACATTCTTACTCCTTAAAGTCCTAAGAATATTTGACTTTGTTTCTATATGTAGAATTTTCATATATCTTACATTTGATTATGCTACACATGTACATTGTATTTTGCTTGGCTCCATTAAACATTATATTATAAGTTAAAAAAAACCACAATTTTTTAGCCATTTTTTTAGACTTGATTTATTTTCCATAATATTCCAATAATGTTTCTTCATCTCTGTTTCCCTTCTGTTTAAGATGCAGGAGAGCTGTATGTTTGGGGAAGTAACAAGCATGGGCAACTGGCTGCTCAGGCTGCTTTTCTTCCTGTGCCCCAGAAAATAGAAGCACATTGCTTTCAGAATGAGAAGGTCACTGCCATCTGGAGTGGGTGGACACACCTGGTTGCTCAGACAGGTGAGAATGCAGCAGAAAATTTGGTATTGGTAAGAGCTACTGGAAGACTGTCTAAATAGGCAAGAATGCTTAGGGTTTAAGGATTGTTGTTCATGAAAAACTTTAGGGACTGGGAGGGGAAAATCCTGGGGTCTAATTCCGCTATCAGCCAGATATATGGCTTTTCCTTTGTGGATCACAGTTTTGTACCCAAAAAGACTGGATTAGGTTAACTCCTGATCCTAAAAGTCTGTGTGGTTTTAAAAAGGAATCCATTGTAGCAAGCATCACCCATAATTTGTCCAGGTTGTTGGGGAGTCCTTACTTTAATAGAGCTGAGGAGATGACGGTTTGTATTTCCACCTCAGTCTAAATTAAAAGAATTAGAAGCTGGTTGCAGTGGCATAAACCTGTAATCCCAGTGGCTCAGGAGGCTGAGGCAGGGGGATTGCAAATTCAAAGCCAGCCTCAGTAATGTAGTGAGGCCTTAAGCAACTTAGCAAGACCCTGTCTCAAAATAAAAAATAAAAAGAGTTGGGGAATGTGGCTCAGTAGTTAAGTGCCCGGGGGTTCAAAAATCCCTGGTAACCCCCACCTAAAAAAAAAAAAAAAAAAAAAAGTTCAGCCAAAGTAAATATTTCAAGGAAAGATGGAGGCAGGAACATAATTTTGAATAATAGCTGGCATGATATTCTGACTTAAATTGTATTTACCCTAATAAACTATGTACATTGATCCAGACATCTCTTGTTCCCTCAGATGCTATGCTATCATACCATACAGCTTTTGGCATCTTCATCTTTCTTTGAGTCTTCATCTGTTTCTCATCTTTCCCTTAGGGGAGCTCTTTCGTGGCCTTCATATCCCTGACTTTGTTCTTGGACTTTGTGTTTTATGGCCTCTGTTCATCCCTGCTGTCTAAGAGTTCCTGCTGACTTATACACAATTCCTTGGACAGACAGTTTATAATTCTTGGGTCTATTGTCATGTAAAGGCCTTCTGAACTTCAAGGGTTCCCTGGCCTGCTCTTGTCTGCTTTGCTAGCAATTCACCCACCTCTAGACTCCCAAATGCCTAGTGACTATTATTCTAGGAGTTTCTGGTTCTTGAAGGTTTTCAGTCAGCTTCTTCTGTTTTTGGTAAGTCACACATACTACACATTTGTATACACAAACAGACTTGTAAGCATTCATTTCTGTGATGCTTTTAATTGATATTTAAAAAGTTTTATGATCATTCTGGAATAAAGGCCTGTATAACAAATGTGTATAGTAAAATTTTCATATTACCACTTCAGAAGATGCTCGAAGGAAAATGTATTGTTCATTTGGAGGAAGATTATATCTCAGAGAAGTTCAGACTGCTTAAAGATTGGGCCCATCTAGAGAAGCTTTGCTTGAAGAGACATTGAGCATAGTAACTGCTTATTTGTATGCCTGCTGATATGAATTTTTTTTTTCCTTCAGTCAGTAAGCTCTGTGGAGCCACCATATTGCTTTTATTCACTTCTGTGACTCCACTGCCTATCTGAGAATGTAGTTGTTTTCCTTTGTCAGACTGTTTCCAGTTTAAAAGAGACTAAACATTCAAATACATTTAAGGCAGGATAGACAGCTAGGATTTCTGATCTCTTTCCTGGGACTCACTGGTTCTTGAACAGAAGGCTTCAGTTTGTCTCTTTGGATTCAGGATCCCAACCAAAGCCGTTAATATGTATTGGACACCTATTAAGCAATGTAATAAGCCTTGGAGAAATGAGGAGAAAGACATGGGCCATGCCTTCTCTCGAGAATTTGTAGATAGACTTAAGTCTAAGAATATGGAGATGGACAACTTTTCCATCCACCCTACAAATAGTGATTATGTTGATGTGCCATACTTGGTATTAGATGTAAATATTGCCTTTAAGGTGTCTACCAGGGGAGACAGACCTGTAATGAAATTTCAGCACATTTCCAGTATGATGTGCAACAATACTGCTAAATACAAAAGTAGACACAAACTAGCCATAGTCTGAGTAATTAGGTGTTAACAGGTAGGTATTTCATGGTTAGTCTTCAAAGAGTCACAGTGCAGTACTCTATACTTACTATCAAATGGTAGTAAGTTTGGTTGAGTCTGTCAGCATACCCTTTAATGAGTTAGGAAGTAGACTAATGAAAGACATAAAGGTTTTTTTTTTTTCAAGTACTGTAACTGATGTTGATTCCCATGTCTGGGTCAGCAGCCCAGCCCTTGGAGTGGGAGGTTGGAACCCACATCCCTGACACTGTCTGAGTCATTCCAGTTGCTTTGGAGTTCAGCTTAAGGTTTCCACCTCCACTTGAGAGCATGATTTTTGGTAACATTTCCGCTGTTTAATTAACTTGTTAATTTAGTTCATTTGTTTATGTACATTGCCACGTTCCCCTTTCTTCTGAGTCCATAATGGTTAAAAGCTGGGAATGTTTGAGTGTCCTGATTGTTGTACTGAATTTTGGGTAAATGGGAGTTTCCTACTATTTGATTCACCAATTTTGTGTTTCTTCTAGCAGTGGAAGCCCTTGCCCTGGCCTGATGTCATTGAGAAGAAACACCCAGGGCTTCCATTTAATCAGACTCAGCTGCTCACATTAATGGGAACAAGATTTCCTTGCAGGGTCAGAAGCAGCTCATTAGTGGAACAAGGCATTATTTGACTCTGGTTGTTTTCATAAGCTCCAGTGGCAAATTATTCCTGGGATGTACTTGTAGGCTGTAAGAGCACATAGCTATTCTTATCTGTCTGAGAAACGCTGGCTGTGTGATACTGAGAATAAAAGAGTTTGTGGATAGTGACCATATATCTGGCCAGAAAGATGGAATGGGATAGGATGAGAAAAAGGGAGAGCACTTTGCTTTTCCCCTTCTCCATAGGGTCTATACTAGTGTTTCTCAACCAGAGGTTGAGACATTGCAGTGGCTGGAGACATTTGTGATTGTCACAACTGGGGGCTGCTACTGGTATCCAGTGAACAGAGGCCAAGGCTACTATTAAACATCTTAAAATGCAAACATAGTCCCTCTACTCCTATAACAAAAAAATTATCTAGTCCCAAATGTTAATTCTGTCCAAGATTGACATAATATCCCTAGTGGTAGGTGCTTAGCTAGGGCAGTTCACATGGTATCAGATAACTTTACAGACTATGGGAATCTGGGATGTGCTCTCTGCTCCCCTCAGTCTGGTGTCTGCCTGCAGTGTTCGCAATGGAAAAATACTTTTCTGTTAGTCACAGCCACTTGGAAAGAGTCCAAGAGAACCTGTTCTAATCTGGGAGAGTTGGCAAGGGTACCTGTGTCTCAGGCTGGTGGAACCGCATTCTAGAAACCTTTCTCAAGCTGCTTGATAATCCTGATCATTGTTCTCAGGAACTTCATGGGACTCCTGGGTGACTATCCAGGCTCAGTGACCTGCAGCTGTATCATTTGAGATTCATGATTTCCTGGCTAGTGGTGCGTTTAGTGAGAGTTGAATGGCAGATCTGGTCCTTTCCTATTTTGGTGACCTTGATTAAGTCACATCACCTGTCTAGGCCTCAGTTTTCTCATCTCTTAAGTAGGATATTAAAACCTACCTGTATTCTGCATAGGGTTGTTGTGAGGTTCAAATGAATCTGTGTGAAAGATCCCAACTAATTGTAAAATGCACAATTGCCTGAGATTGGGATATGTAAGTGCATTCTGGAGTCAGTAGCTGCTTATAGAAGGACTTCTATCCCAGCGAGATCTGTGCTGAATTTGAGACATACTAGCTTCTGCCCCGATGGCTCATAAGCTGGCTAGGGGATGTGACAGTTTCCACATCTTTTTTTTTTTTTTTTAAAATTATAAATGGACACACTATCTTTGTTTATTTACTTATTTTTTATGTGATGCTGAGGATTGAACCCAGTGCCTCACACGGGCAAGGCAAGTGCTCTATCACTGAGCTACAGTCCCAGCTCCAATTTCTACATCTTGATGGGGCCAAGTTTCCTAAAGTCTTTTTCACTCATTGTGGTAGGCAAGTGGCTTTTTCAGGCTGTTAACAGTTTGGAAGATCTCTGTAGATAATTTTACCTATTAAAATTGATTCTTCATAGCATTCATCCCAATTTTTCATTGTGTACATCTGTTTGTAGTGTTACTTGTTTAACATATAGATCATAAATTCCATGCGAGCAATGTTGGTTTTGTTCATGGCTGCATCCCTAGCATATAACCTAGGCATGGCACTAGTAAGTGGATGATTCATAGCAAATTGCTGAATGAAGAAATAAATGGAAAGGTAAGAGAAACACGGGCTGTGACATCAGACAAATCAAGGTTTAATCTTAGTTTCATCAGCTTACTTACAGCATTGCTGTGGGCAGTGCCCTCGTGTCCATATCTATTGTCACTGTTATAGTTGTCTAGTCTCTTTAGTTCTCATGGAGGTATGGCCCTTTCCTTTGTGTGTGTGTGTGTGTAGGATTCTTTGAATAACTCCCCCTCCCACTAGACTATAAGCTCCATGAGGCAGGAGTCATGTTTGGTTTTGTTCACCATTGTATCCTAGTTCCTAGCAAAGTAATTGGCACATATGAAGTAGGTGCTTAATACATTTTGGACAAATGAGTTAAACCTAGCTTCTCTGAATGTATTTCCTTATTAGGAAAATGGGAAAGCAGTTGCTGACTGGGCATAAGGATTAAATCAGATGATGTAGTACATCATCCAGCACAGGACTGGGCTCATGTGCCTATTAGTGCACATCTGCCCTTTGGAACTTTGGAGCTTTTTGGAGGTTGGGTGCTCTTCTCTTTCCGGAAGAGGTCTCTGGTTATGGGTGCTTCTTTAACAGTTTTATTCAGGACTATCCTGAAGAATACAGAAAGATCAGTGCTTACAGATGCTAAGTGATGGTTGCTGGTGATTTATTAGAATTTCAAGGGGAATGATTTTCCCAAGATCCAAATGTTAATGTGGGGTTAGTCAGAATGTCTAGAATCTGTTTGCTTTCCGGATGCTGGAAGCGTTCC